CAGGATCGCCTTTCCACCAGATTTGGACAATGTAGGATCCTGTGGATTGGTTAGCAATCGAGGGTCAGGACTAGGGTTACTTCCTTTCCATACCAGGCTTTGCGAGGGAGACGATGTCAGTAACGTTCGTCATGAAGATCCTGCCCTTCAACTGAAGTCTCGCATTCTTGTTCCTGATCTTGGGCCCTGTAGACCTAGTCTTATCCTTCTTGTCCCTGCTCTTGTTCGCCGAGATTTCCTTGCAGCAGAGTAGTATGCATTCGAAGAGATAAATCTCGTACTACGAAAATCAGTGTTTGGTCCTGGTTGGGGATGGCAAATTTGTAGAGCAAAACTTACGTCCTTTTCTTGCTCGCTCTTCCCTGTGACGACAGTGTAAACACCATGCATCAGCAGCCTGCCGAACTGCTCCACGCGATGATTCTTCCAGTCGTCGACGCGGTTTCGCAAGTCGTCCAGAGCCTCGTCCAACAGATCTCGGTTGACTTCTTCGTTGGCCTTTGACAAAACTCGTTCTGCGGACTCGATACCGCCTGCCAGATCGGCCTTAATATCCTCGTCCTCGCTCTTTTTCATCAAGTCCTTCAACAACAGAGGGTACTTGACGAGACGCTGCATGGGCTTGAGGAGGAAGCCATCCAAAGTGTTGAAGTCTGCGGCCACGGGATGCCCGCTCGCTTTGATCTGGTCAAAGACTTGATTGGCGACTTGGGCTGCTTTGCGCTGATTGGCGATGAAGGGACGGTAGATGTCGAATGCATCTTCGTATGTGACAAATGGAGCACCCCAATGCTGTACAGTCTTGGGCATGGAGTTTGTCGTCTCGACACGGATCAGGAAACGGCGTTGGAAATCCAGGATAGCGTTGATGTTGAGGAAAATCTGATGAATGGTGTCGCCAGTGATTATTCCCTTAGTCTCCAAGCTACTTTTCAGGTCGTAGAGGTTCTCCAAATCTTGGACGTATTTTCGCTCCGTGTCTACCAGTTCCTTCACGATATGATCCCGGTAGCTCAGCTTGGAGCCTGGTTCCATAGGAAGATCATCTTCGGGATAAGGCTGGAGTTGCAACAAGAGGCCCCGTTGCTCAGCGATATCGAGAACGTAGTTGACGACTTGAGTTGTCTAGGACGAGGTCAGATTTGGTCATTTTCAATTTACATGATTGATGGTGATCTTGAATCAGAGGTCACCGTGGAGGAGAGACAGCAGTCGTGTCGCATACCTTGACAAAACCAGTCGTGTCATTTCCTAGTACGTCGCTGATGACGAAGCATTCCGCCGAGGGTATACCCAAATCCTTTAGACACGCCTGAATGAATTTGAAGAGGGCAATTTTTGCCTTTTTGCTGTCGCTGGCACTGGCGTTTGCGCCTTCGATCTCGAGGGGCTTCTCTGGTTGCAGGGCGTTGTAAATGTCGAGTAGCGGATAACCGGTGCGGAACAGGGCCCACAGTGATTCGACAGGGTCGTTGGGGTCGAGCTCTTGCAGATAGGGGTCGAATCCAGGTACCTGTGATAATCGCTGCTTCAACGACATGCAAATCTGGTAAAGGGACCGCGAGGCATCGGCCTTTTGGTTGATGATGTTGGCCGTAGCCTGAACGGGGCCTCCATTTTGGGGGGGCGTCACCGTGGATGCGCTGTTGAAGGAGGCGAAAGAGCCAGAGGATGTGTACGCTGTCGAGCCGGAAAGCTGGCTGGCGCGGGGCGCATTACTCATGGTATTGGGTAGGCCGCCGATTCCGTTGGATTGCTGGAATACAGGAGCCGTGTTTGTTCTTAGGAGAGGAGCATGAGCCATGACGTCCTAACCCATCCGGTGAATGGAGGGGAGAGGATAGAAGGACACGACTATCGACTACAACGACGACGGCAACGAAGAGGATCGGGGATCGTGCGAGGACCGAGGGGCGAGGCGGTGGAGGATCGATGAAGCGGTTCGTGGTCCTATGTCGAAGACAGGGTCACGTCATTCGGCACCGGGGTTCTCGAGAGTCGGTCTGGTCGAGTGGACTCGGGTTCAGGATATCGGTGCTTGGGCGGAGCAGCGACAATGTAGCGGTGGGCGTCGGGGAAGGTTCTCGTGGGCGATGGGCGTCGTCGGGAGAAGGGTAGGTTTGTTCTTGGAGGGCGAAAATGAGAACAAGGGGTTTGAGCGATGGGCGTTCGGACTCTAGTATTTCCCCCCCTTGTAGTGATCGAATAGGGCCCCCTCTATATGTTTTACCGGACTTGGAACAGGCGGATGACGAGGAGGAATAGGGACGTCTTCGTGTACGGGGTTTGCGTGTGCGTATGCGAGAGAGAGAGATAGAAGGCAGTATGTGTGTGTGAGACAGAAGTGCCGGCGCCGAGAGTCGGTGGAGGAGGGAGGTTGGGCTGGTTGGGCGGGTCTGTTTTTCGAGTCGACGAGTCGAAGTTGCGGAGCGGTGCGGAGCGATGCGGGCTATCGGGGCGAAACAAGTTGCCTTTTTGACCCCTGTCCGGTCCTTGATCCTCCTATTAGGTGTCACTAGTGGTGGGCGATAGCGTGTATCTCGAACAAGCCTTCGTGGGCCAAGAGGTTTTGCGAAATGGATATCGTTTGGGAGTGTCGGTTGAGGAGTGCTAGGTTGCCGACAGAGAATTGCAAGTCGAGGTTGGAGTTGTCGCTGGATTTGGGGACGCTGTTGCAGGACGCAGGCTGATGCAGTTGGCGTGCATGAGGGTGTGTCTTGATTCAACCTGGAGGGGGGCTGGGTTAGGTACTAGGTAGTGAACGGCAGCATGGGGGAACGTAAAGCAAAGGTTTAGGGGGTAAGGCAACCCGCAAAGGCAAAGACAGAGGGGGGGGGGGGAGACTATCCGTACCCTTAGGATCTGAGGATACAGAGTGTGGAAGCGCCTGAGTCTCTGTGGTTGCTTCAACTTGCTTGGGTGCTTGGGAAAGATCCAGGTCAGGCCAGCCAGGTCGGGTTTCCAGTCCCCAGTTCCTAGCTCCAGTTGCTGTTGCGGTCCAATGTGGTGCAGTGTCTCGTCGCCCGTGCTCTGCTGATTGCCTGGGCCCCTAGAGTAAGGTATTGGCAGCAGGAGCAAGGGGGTGATGGGTACTAATGGTGGGATAATGGTGGTGGGCGGATGTTGTGTGAGTGGGAACGGGTTGGTTGGGCTGAGAGGTCTGAGGATGACAGATTCGGAACCACGTCCTTTGAGTCTTTGAGCCTACCGCGGTGAAGGAAAGGCAGAGAGACGCCCAGCGAAAAGAGAGAGAGAGAAAGAGGCACAAGTGGGAGCGGAGGTACAACTGCGCGGTACTGTGGTGGAGAGGCGGCCTCAGGTTGGCCGCATTGATCTGATGGAGGTTTTGGGCGTTTCAAATTAGCGGGTGATCGCGCTAGTCTAGATTGGGCTTGGTCTCCCGTCGCAGTGGACAGATTCACGTCTCCCATTGATTGAACCTGCCCTCGTGGTGCGCGCCCGGTACGTATTGCGATCCCATCAGCCTTCAGCCTCCAGGCGCGAGAGTACGTACATACATGTGCAGGGCAAGCCTCGACGGGGAAGGAAGGAACAATTGATTAGGATGGGAATGGGGACATCTTGGGTGCGTCACTGGCCAGGAAGGCCTCTATCAGGAATCAGCATCTGTGCTCTCAACAACTCTGCAGCATCACAGAGGAATATCGAGATCCCCACCACGGACAGAGCGACCGTCCACACCGTAGATCCTTGGAGACAAGGAGTGGACAAGTCTTGGGGCATACAAGAAGGAGGGCACTCGGACTGACAAAGAGGAGGGGGTTTATTGAGCACGAGGCAGAGGAACACAAGACCTGGACACATCCGTAAATCTACTTGGCCGGCACTGCATTGTTCGAGAAGGTTGATGGAACAAAGATAGGGGAAACTTGTAATGGAGGGTACGGATAGACCGGGGGCAGACTCTAGCACATGCAGACTCAATGATACACATTTTCCTGAAAACTCACTATCCAAACTATACGGATTGAGGAGGATTGTTGACTAACTACTGTCTTGAGCAGATCCTCCATTCTGCCCGTCCCGTGTCCCGCATCCTGCGTCTTGTTTTCCGACGGCTGTCATTGTTATGCCCTGGATGACGAGCATGGAGGAAACGGGCCTTTCCTGGGGACGGGCAAGTACATCATCCACTAACAAGCATCGTATCAACGATACAAGGTACTCCGCAGTCTATACCGTACAGAAGTCGTAATCCAACGCTGTCTTGAGCCGATTGCAGACATCTTTAAGCCAACAAATCACAACCATCAAGCTGTATCTGAAATTACACAGTATTCATATGCTCGAGCGCCTTCAAGCCGGTGTCGGGTTGATTGCCATGCCCCCATTGCGTCTGCAAGGTACTCGTTGCACGACATGCCTGCCGGGCCCTTTGTCCCCCCGCTGTAGAAATCGATCATCCATGGTTGCTCTGCACAATGAGCCGACTGCCCACTTGATGGTCCAAACCCCTCAGGCGACTTGCGCCCCAACATGATTCGTATTGCTCAGTCAAGTTCAGCCGGAGACATGGAGATGGCAGTATCATACGGTGAGCTGTTCGGCAAGTTAGGTAATCAGTCAAGATGGACTGCAGAGCACCTTGATATCTTTCAGAAAAGAAAATAAAACAAGCTGGAGAGGTAGGTGCCTTACGGATACATTAAGGGAATCTGGAAACAACTTCAGCGTAAGGTACCTTAGGTACTAAGGTAAGGTGAGGAAGGTACGGAGCACATTGGGACCTGAGAAGGTACAGATAAGCCATCTCGGCTTAGCTAACGCACCGGCCTGTGCTCCGATAAGACACTTGGGGAGTCTCGGGAAGGCACCAAGAAAGAAGGGTTCCTTCCTGCGCTCTCAAAGCCAAAATCTCCATGACCCCCTCCTGCCCTCTGAGCAAAGACATCCTGACCAACCCTTTTACATCCTCCGCAGTCCGTACTTGATGCCGCATATTCCCTATCTTGGGGGTTGCATTCGACAAACTGACCTCGATGCGCATCGCCATCTCGGCCAAGACCCGAACAAGACCTGACCGGCCTGCATCAATCGACAACTGCCGCTGCAGTCGCAATCAGTCCATCGCGGTTGGTCTCCTCCCAACATTGAAACTAACGGTGCGCCAGGCGCCTTCAAGCACAGCCATCCGGTCGTGTCTGCACTCTTCGGGCCTTCCCCCCTTCGCCCGCCGTATATCCTGCTGCACATATCGCAAGGCGTCTTCTCTTAGCAAACTTTGACCACATCTTGCGCTGCCGGCTGCTAGGAGAGATACAAACATATGCCCCCCTCGCTCTCCAGACACCACTGTGCTATGCTGCCCGTCAGCAATTCAAGCCGCCCGACCGACAGACTCACCCACTCACATACTCACATACGCAGACGAGATCGGTGGATGGGTTCTCAGACAACCGCATGAGCGTCTCCCATCCGTCTGTTGTTTCGATGCTCCAATGCACGGAACTACCCTGCTCTCACGCCGCAGACAGGACATGCGCCGTGCAGCCTCGCACTGCCATCCCGGTCTCTTCTGACTCTGCTGTCGAGTCTCTTCAGGGTCTCTTGCGCCCACACACCGCTATCAAGGACGACGCTCACCCTGCAAGTGTCGCTGTCAGTCTGTCCGGGCACACGGCTACCGACCGCCCGTTGAAGGGCATAGGTACCGTCATGTCTAGCTCCATGGCCACAAAACCTAATTCCCTGCGAACTAAGTCCTGGCTGGATATCCAATCCACAGCCGCGGATCAAGTCCCGGTAAGCCACCCTCCATGGGCTGACCAAAACACGTCAAAGACGTTGAAACACCATCTTCATGCACCTGGTAGGCTGTCCCACAAGGTCTAGGAAACAATGGGAGCCTCACATGACGAATTTATTTTGGGATTTTCTGGACCACTCAACCAACGCCTAACATGGGATGGCCGACATGGGTCACGACGGCTAGCCTCTAGAAAGGCGAGCGGAATCCACTCCGAACGAAGGACGTCCCGAGCAAATGTTCTCACCCTTCAGGATGCGCTGCAATGTGCTTCAGATTACCTATTGTGCCTGTGCTGGATTGTGGGATGGGCTGTCGATGCCAAACATGGCGCTCGTCCTTGTTTCTTCCCGTGTACATATCCTGCAAAAGAGAATTACCTATGCAAGTCCAGTATCGCAGCTGGCCACCTCAGCCCCAGGCTTGGAGGCTTCAACGGTGCGTCTCACTCTCGGCCTGGGCGGTCCGGGCTGGGGCGGTGGTGCGAGCTGCTCGGAGCGAGAGGCGTTTTCGGTGGCTTGATGATGAGTACCGGCCCCGTCTCAAGGCGGCATGGTTGAGACTCGGCGGCCGCTGGATAGTTCAAGACCGATGCGATGCGCCTGAGCTGCACAGTTTATGCCATTCGCAGTTTAGCAGACGCCGTCAAAGAGCATGGGGATCAGCCGCGGCACCCGGTCTTTCTTTGCCCGTTGTTTGTTTTCCTCCAGAAAATTGTTTGAGGACGAGACATCACAAAGACAGGTGGGAGTCTATGATAGCATGAGGTTTTCACCAATGGTATTTTGCAGAGGATGCCAAGATGTCACCATTGGGCTGAGGCTCACAGAGGACGGACAAACTGGGGATAGTCTATCGGGACAAATCTCTCGTGCATGCACCCACGCAAACCACGGCATCTCTCGCGGCCCATCCCTTAACTGGTAGGACTAGACCTCACGGATACGAATAGGGACCGTAGGACTCGTGGTGGATCCACGCAAAAGCCGAAGTACCCCGGAAAATCACTTTAGGCCGATTGTTCACGGAGTGGACTGACGAAGCTCGGGGATTATTTCGCCTCATTCTGATTGTCCATTGTCACAAACAGGCGTTCCATTCTGAGAGCACTCATCCAGAGCCTGTGCTTTTACGGACACAGCTTGCCTTGACTCATCGCAGTTCGGGAAACAATCTGATTATTGAGCGTCGCCTCGTGATCTTGTGCGCGACTCGATGCGCCCGGCAATGACACGCCTGCACTCACACGAGCAGCCTCTAATAGAGAAAGAACGTCATACCCCCTTCGGAGGCAAGCATTCAGAGAGGGGAGTCCCGGGCTGACGTGCAGAAGAGGCGAACACCCAAGAAACTCACCCGGAGGTTTTCTGGAGAATGGCAAGGTCAGCTCCGAACAGCGCGCGCACAAGAAAAGTTTCGTGCGACATGACTGCGGGCGGATGGGAAAGTCATTGAAGCCAAGCCGGCTTCCTCATTGGAGTTTTCTGTCATGTGCGACGTCGTTCCCGCCGCCTCTGTTCGTGCTCGACCTGCATTTGTCAGGAGAGTCCCTTAGAGATCACGATGAGGGATCCCTCGTGCTTGTCCTAGTGAGCCTCCTGAACTTCTTGCCGTGCTTTCAGTACCTGAGAGGTAGGCGCAGTCATGCGGGTACCCGGACCGGGCGTTGTCACTTTTCGGAGGCTCACCGGGGAGGGCAGAAGCACCTGGTGTCGGCTCATGGCTGAAGCCGGATGAATCGGCAGAGCGATCATGTCCACCTACTTTCATGGTAGGGCCGAGAATTGGCCATTTCAAATCACGAATGAGAGAAGAGAAGGGGGAAACTATTGATCAGGGCGGGACGTTCGCCGCCGCCGATCTGCACCGTACACGTGTCAGTAACAGGTACGTCTGACTTGTCATTCGGCTTTCCGTTTTTTCGGCTCTCTCGACAGCAGCTCGTAGGCGCAAGGGAAACCATGAAGGTAGGTGGCGAGAAAATGTCTATACAATTTGCCTCACCTAATTTTTTCTTTTCTTTTGCTTAAGCGGTGAATGATGAGGTAGTCAATAGTAAGTACAACCGGCCTTGGGTAAGTGGAATGGGCCAGTATCAAAAAAGCGTCCTATGGCACCGGCCAGTGATGAAAGCCAAGATGCATGAGAAACAACTTGGAAGGTAACATACAGGAACCTAAGAGCTAGAGCCGAGTCTGGACACATAATTAGCATTTCATGTTGCGATGAACCATACTAGTCTCGGGAGCCCGATGGGAGGCGTAAAAGAGGGAACATGGGCTTTGCTGTCCGATGGAGAAGTCGGTGCCGAAGGGGAGGGGAATCGTGAATGTTATTTATGTGTAGGTGTAGGTAATCAAGCAAGACAGAAGGGGATTCACTGAGAAGAAGAATGAACTTTCTTGGCCGATTGAGTTGTGAGCTTAAATTGGGAAGGGAGGTGAATCTGCGGGTATGGGGTATATGTGAGGGAACGCCACCGCTCATGCTATGGATGGGTATTATGGTGATTATGTTCCAAGTAAGCTGAGGGGGATGAGATCAAGGTCATTTCTGACCTGGGATCTCTGGGTAGTTGTAAGATCTAGATATGTGTCTCATGTACTATGCGAATATCTGAGATCACGAACTCTCCAAAAGATAAGATCTCACCTTGCGCTCGTGGGGATATACAAAATGCAAGACAAGTCGTCGGCCGGCAGCGGGTGTGTCTAAATCTGGATAGGCACACATGTGTCATACCACACTCTTGCCCAACCATAGTTAGTAAACTTAGGATTCCCCATAAGCTTGAGGTGAGGTCTTTTTTCACTTTTGAATCTTGCTTTCTGCTGGCACGTTCTGAATTCAACTCCACTCAAAGCCCCTCCCGCATTTTTGCCACCCTTTGCTGCTCATTTGCGGGTCTTTTGCGAAGCCTAGGTATTGTATGTATGTATTTCGTGCAGTGAAGCGGCAGGCACAAGCGGGAGGGGGAAAGTTGTAATTTGAGGAGTATGGCAACTTGAAAGTAGATGGGAGTGAGAGGGCTGGATGATGCTTCATTATCTTTTGCTTCCTTTCACATTCTTCCCGGAAGCCGTTCTTCTTCCAGGAGGCGTTTGGGAGAATCTGCTGTCTGAGGACGCGGCGGCTTTGGCGTATGGTCTGACCCTATGCCTTGCCCGCACCATGTAAAGTGATTGCTGGAAAGCTTTATAGGAGTAACGCAGAGTGAGTGAGTGGAATGCGGGCGGTGGACGGACGTGGCGGCAGGCTCCCGCGGCCGGTGGTCGCTCCGCATTGCTTGGGCGGCCCCCTTGTTCTTGCGGCTTATTTTTTGCCTGCCGGTCCTTGCCTACTTTGTCTGTTGCATGTCCACACCTCTTGTCACTGACTTGGTCTGGGATCCGCACTCAGTATGGATATCAGAGGGGGTCGATGGGGGGATGAGGATGAGAGGTTGAAGATGGGCACCGTGAGAGGATGCCGAGGGGATAAGGGGATGCGATGCGATGATGATATTGGTCAATTGCTCTGATCAACAGACATGGAGACTGAGGAGAGTAAATAGCAATAGAAGTGTGAGGAGCAATGTCTTCAGACAAGAGAACAAGGATAAGTGATAATCGCCGGACCCGTCTGTTATTGCTCCATCATCCCCATCCCATCCCGCCACCTCCGCCCTCTCTCAGTCTGTCAAAAACTGGTTTGCATGAGGTATCCGTGGATCCGTATGCATAGTACCGTAGTTGCTCAGCGGTCAACTTGTTGTGATGCTGTGGTGCTGTGTTCATGTATTTCCATGTTCCATGGTTCCCTCGGTTCCCCTCTCCTATCCCAATCACCAATTTTCCAGGTTGAGGTGATTCCCAGGGACCAAAAAACAGGCTTTCCAGGCTGCAAAGCAGTCCCCGCCCAGTGCCCACTTGGCTTCCCTAAGGTTCCCGTCTTCTTACCGCCCGCCGCCGCCGCCGCCTCTCGCCCTTCCGCACTCCGCTGCCTCGTCTTGCCTTCCATTGCCTTGTGTTCACCTTGCTCACCTGAACTGTCACCTAATTATCCGGCAGGTCTGGATCGCTTACCTGCATCCGTAATTATTGCCCTGCCTGCTTACCTTACGGCGACATCCAGGCATCTTCAACCAACAACGGCCAAGCGCTCCCGCTGCATTTCCACCCGCCCTGCCGCCCCCGGTCAGCCCAGCATCCAAACATCCAAACATTCAACCCGCCGTTCAACATCATCCAACCAACCCTTCCTTTCCCCAATCCAACTCTCCATCTCAATCCCAAAATCTCAATCCAACCATTTTCCCACCCCACACCCTGTCCCATCTCCTCTTCTCTTTGCCTGCCTTGCTTCTGCTGTTGCATCGACACTCGCAGCTTTCAAGCCGCACCCATTCCTTGCTTTATTTTCTGGATGCGACACAACTAAGACAACATTCTACACTACCATTGCATCACCACCAATACGTAACCACGCCCATCAAAGGAACCCTAGCCGCCTTGCATCACGTCGCCCAAAGACTTCCCTGGTTATCAGTCCGCCCATAGTCTCACTTGCCTCTCTCTCCCGCTGCATACTCTCGGCCAGGAAGACGACGACGACGACCACCACCACCACAAAGCATTACAGAGAAGCCAATCGACCGTAGTCCACCCCGCGACCGAGCACGAACCCCTTCTGCCCCTCGCACGCATGGCCCGCGACTGCGCATACCTTGCCATCAGAGAAGAGCCGTAGAGACCAAGTCCTGCGCGACATCTCCATAACCTCTCGAACTACACACTCTCGCCAGACATGTCTGCCTTTACCTCACAACAGCCCGACGAGGGCTACTCCGAAGACCCTCTGAACCCTAGCTTCAGCGGCACTCAGGATGTCTCGGCCTCGCGTCCACCTGCAGACCTGCCCGCCTGGCTCGCCCAGCATCTCCCCGGCCTGTCCACCTCTGAAAAGACTGGTACGTTTACCTTGCCCTGTGATGCAGCTGCAGCAGGGCAGACGTTTGCTCTGCTTGCTCAAAGTCCTTGGGGTAACAACTGACACGACACTTTGCCAAATGAACAGAGCTTGCTATTGCTCTTCTCGACCAGCTACC